GTCATCACGCGTGACCTAGCGCCATACCTCAGGCTGATCCAATGATCTGACATGGACCCAGTTATCGACCATGTATTACTCTGTGCGGCGGCTATCCACCAACTAACTTAAATACTTACAACAAATAAACGGTAGGTGTTTGAATGAAGCTGTTTCTTATGCGAATACAAATCGATTTATCAAGTTTTATCTGCTAGGGTTATGAAAGTGTTTGGCTGAGTAGATCGCATCTCAATTTGACCTTTCCAGGCTCTGAAGAAGGCGAAACCGCCGAAACGTCAGCAATTGTGTTCTAATAAATTCTATATTAACAACCTCGTGTCTGCTTATTGATGAAAAACATTGAATTATCAATTAATGCCGAGGTTAACAGAAAGTCGGTCATGGGAATTCTATAGTTGTTCTGCGTGCTCCAAGACGCCTCGAGTGGAGAACTGTCATCGGCATATTTTCAGACATCCTAGTCCTCAAGTCTAAGGTAAAACGCTAGCGGTTCCATTAAGCAGCCTACCTTGATGCTCTCAATAATTCCTGGCAATGTTTCGTGCTCCAGCCCGGAATACTCGCCTTCGGTGTTCTCACGTATCAGAACGATATCGATATCCTGCTTATCTTCACTTTTATCGCAATTCACACCACTTGAAATTCGAACTTTAGGAAAAACTTTACCTTATGTCTTGTAGGTATTGTAGGAATGCTTACGCAATGAAGGATATTGGCGTAGAGATCGAGTCGCTTGCGAAGTTCTACGTTACGCGATTTATAGCTTGGATCGTCATGTTTTGTCTCAATGTTACCCTAAAGTCTAATGCTACAAAGGACAAGATGAGATAACAATAAGTCAGCGGAATATAATGAATATAGAAAACATTAAAACAATGCACAATACGCGCAAGGTTCTGGTTCGGCTCTGCATCAGGCCAATCAAGTCTCTTATGCTTATGGAGTCAAAAACCCGCAGCACACTTGCATGAGAAGAGCTTCTTGTAACCCAAAAAAGGAAACGACTGCCTGCGATGAAGACCAGGGAACGGATTAGCACGACTACCCAAGGATTGCAGAAAAAAGCGATCCGATCAGCATTCGAGAAATTCAGTGGGAAGACTAAAAATCGTCAAACACCAAACCACACGCAGTTCTGAAAACCTTCGCGAGATTGTGTTGGATCACCTAAGAAAAATGTTTTGCTATATATGTAAAGGCCCCGCAGACAATCTACTTTGTGGAGCTCTTTTTAATTCCACGGAAGAAACTTTTGTTTTGTAATATGAGTGGTACAACCATGATTCATTCACCTTACAGTACAAAGGTCAGGGGTGCATGTGGCGCAGTGGTCGGAGGAGCCTTGCAACACACACGTGGAATCGTTCCCCTTGTTCATGGCCCACCAAGCTCTCCAACCTTTCGGGTTCGACAAATTGGTAGCAGAGTTGTCTGGGAGGACAGCAGTACTGGCTCGATAGATCGGTAGGCCACCACGAGTCAAAGTGGAACGCATGGCGCATCCCTCAGAGATTGATCAACGCTGAGAGCTTTAGAGCTTTTTACAGTACAGAAAAGTTTTAAAAGTACCTTGAACGGGTGTACGACGGTAGCCAGTCTTTGTTAATTTTCAGTAAAAGCGAGTATTCCTTGAATAAGGTTATTGAACCATTTTTGCGTAGCGGTGTTTTCCATTAACATCCAGGTAACAAGGAGTAAACAACTATCATTGATGGACGATATACTCCCGTCGCCTTACCACATCTGCGCCAAATCCAATTTTTTCTTAGAAAGTGAGAATAATGTTGGTGCCCATGACTTATTTCAAGTTGTGCGTCATGCAGAATATCGTGTTTAGGTCAAAATCATTGTTATAAGAAACAGAATTGCTCCTAGTACATTATTTTAAAAAATGGTTTGTAGAAGTAGTTATAGTCATACTTTAATGGCGACACCGTTCCTTTCTATAGCCATAATTGCACCTTCCATGTCTCCATCGACCAACTGAGAGCTGACTTGAACGAATTCGAAATTTATTGGTGCCTAAAATCACATAATCATTCACTGAACGGTTTCCCAGATTTGAAGTGAGAAAAAACAACTTCAATTAATGAAATGTAAACATATACATGACAATAGAGGAATATGGTACGTATGTGTTCCATCATCTCTGGTCCGATACCATCGCCTGGGAGCGCAGTTACAGTATGACGACCGCCATACTTGGAAAGTGGCAACTGAAAGAGACCCCAGTACTGGTGTGGTTGTAATCAGCTGAATTGCTCAAATTTAGGTCATGTTTGATACTTACTCTTTTCCCGGGCAACTTGTGAGTTCTTATAGCCGATACCTCGCTCGCATAATTTCTGTTAGACCAGGAGATAACGGGCGGCGATTGACTTAGACATCGCAATAACGTGGACCGCATACGTGAAACCATCGACCAATTCTGAAAATTGCTCTCTATGTTCGATGTTTTTTATTGTGTCGAGCAACGGAGCAATAACTGAACCCCTCTTTACGCAAAAATGGCACCATTGGGAATTAAACGAGTCAAGTTACATTCACGTCAACGCTTTTATGCTACTACCCTCCTCAGAACGGATATGATTCGAGCAAGAATTTTTCTTGAAAGAGAAAAATGAGGACGGTTAAAGTGATGGTACCAAATGTCAACCATATTAAAATTTTACAATAACCATGTGGGATTTCAAAATATATACAAAGAGATGACAGGTGCGAATAGTACAATGGCAGAAATGCCGTTCAATATGTGCGAGACTCTGGTTCAACCCTGCTCGCTCACGATCAACCCATCCCTCCTACATTATGAAATTGATACCCTATCTAAGAAGCTCACTCCAAACCACAAATACTGTACACTGCCTACGATGAAGATCTGAGATCGCTATGTCATGGCTATCTCAGTGTTCCATAGAGAATGCACTCAATTCAACGATATTAACGAAGATCACCAAAATCCTCAAGCGGAAGTCGAAGCAACTCGAATTCCAAAAGTCTCCGTTGGATGATGGATGCTAGGAAACGAATCTCATTGAAAAAAAGGCGCTGAGATTCAGTCCACACAGTTTGTGCTGTCGAGTTACTTTAAAAGGAAAAGTAACATAAAGCTCTTGACTCTAAAACTGACTCGACACGACAGCGCTCGAGAGACGACCACTAAGTGTTCATTGAGAAATTGGGGCCAAAATATGCTAACAAGAAAAGGATTACGATAGGTCTCCATGTTCATTGGCCTGGTACCAGAGCCACTTATCATCAAACTTATGTTCGACGCGATGAGAAACAAGCTTGATCCCGCCTTCCAGTATTACAACTATTGCCACTTTGAAGCGAGAGAATTGAATTTCTCATTAGTACGGAGGTCGAAAATGAAATAAACCATTAACACTTTCATCACTGATCTAACACCATCATCATTTCCGGAGGTCGTTAACATTCTAACTACATCTTTGTTATTTAACTACCAGCGGACAAGTAGCGCAGTGCCGTTTATCACGAGCACGATTCAGGCTCGATCCGGTCGCGAGATCACCTATCGTCCCATTCCTTTTGGGTCGGAAAAATTAATACCAGATTTGTCTCGACCTAAATGAGTCCCTCCAATTCACGATGGAACGCCTTAGTTCGGTTACCTTAGGACTGTAGGGAGAACCGACTCAACCAGTACTCTAGGACAACCATAAAAATACCAAATTCCTCAAGCAGCAGCCAAAGAAATAAGCAAGTGTTCTAAGGACTTCTTGCATGGAAACGAATCGAATGTAAGAAATTCTGGGAACAAAAATAAACATAAAAAATGTTCAGCTCTGACTAAAACAAAACGAAAACTGTACAGAAGCATGAAACAAATGACTTTTACTGGTCACGTGTCGAAGTACCTCCAGCTCGGTGAAAGACTTCACCGCGTGGAACAATGAAATTTGCTGGTGCGGAAATTGTAAAGCTTCGAGAACTACGAAGTCTTTCAGTATTTCGTCGTCGACGAGATGTGCGGCATATCCATCGCCACCTATACAGTCATAACCACAGTAGTCATCCCATCCACGCCTCCACTTCAGTTCCTCACTGGATGCCGGAATTACACAATAACTACACAGCGAAAAAGCATGCAGGACAGCACATGTGCAGCGGGGACTTGGCCACCGTGCGAATGTGTCGGTTGATTCTGCACGGTTACGCTGCCAGTGCTGCCACTGGCCAGTAGTGTAGCGTTGTCATTCGGGCCCAGTTGAACCTACACTACCGAAACGTATGCATAGATAGATTATAGATGCAAAAGCGAATTCCTATGATCGGCATCAAGATCACAACATTAACTTTTTTATTTACTGCCTATTATTATTTTTCACAGCAGGGTATGATGTGAAATACAACTACCATATGGTTGAGATATTTGCCAAATCAGATCAAGCCGTAATTACCCTTTCCAGGGGCTCAAGTGTTACGCATTGCACCGCTGAGACCTTCGCTTTACCAGATGAGTGCTGCTGGCAGCGTTAGGTAGAAAATGGGGTCACAGAAAGGGTAATCGCTGTTCGATTTGTCCTAGGGTCCAAGTTTTGCAAATATCTCAGTGTCATAGTGGCTGTATTTGACATCAAGATCTTTCTCGGTCTCAATAGCATATACTCATTTTATTTCGATAAACTATTGATTATGGTACCAATCAACAAGTCTGATAAATACTGGTCGTAAAACAGAAAGAAACTTTTTAAAAAGAAGGTAGATGACGGTGCTTTAAAATAAGGATGAATCTTGACACTGCTGGAAGCAGTGATGAACATACAAAGCGTATTTGCTGGTCAGAAACCATCCTGTTATTAAACGTTTTTTCTCCTTACAAGGAAAATAAGCTGTTTAAGCATACGATGTGACATAGGTAACAGAGAAACAAACTCGGGAAGAAATCGAGATTTGAAATTATGTAAGGGCCAAGAAACTGGTCTCCTAGCTCCATAGAAATAAAAAGGAGGTAGCACGAGCGAGTAGAGTCCTGTTAAGCATTTTAGTGACAAAGAGTGAGAAGAAAGACATGGAGGCGCATCTGATATGAATGGCCGGCCAGCCGTCAGCAAAAGTTCGTTCGATGTCTGGTCCAGTGCCGCCTGGTCGTCTGGGACTTCGTTCGAGGTTTTCAGTCGCTCTATCTTAGTGCGTGATAGCTGACAGAAAGTCAAAGTAAAAAGGAGCTGTAATTCAGTTGACTTTTTTATTGCTTTAGATGTCCTTCCTCAATCACACTATGGCAAGACTTCTAGGTGGGAATTGAGCGACAAGAGTCACAACAAGTATTGAAAATCTTATACACCTCATGCTGGAAATCAAAACACCAGGAAAGTCTGAGTATTAATTATCATACGGTTGCTTGAAGAAGTACCATAAAAGCAGTTTCTCAGAATAGCAAAGAACCATTTGAATTTCCGAACCCAAAACATAAAGGAGAGAAGTGCGAACGTGTATCTTCTTTAGATATTTCAGTTTGCTCACAGAATCGATAAAACTGTGAAGGTGGATTTACCCTCTCAAACGAATGAAGAGATCAAGTGATGGATGAGGAAGGAGCTACTCCAAGAGATGTCTGAGAGATTCCGACCCTTTCTGTGCTCATTTTTGCAAATTTTTGAACCAGGTTTACTTATAGGAAACTCCAAATTAATTACGCTACAGTGAAGTCCTCAGCCGACTTTTGGTCACAGCATAAACACCAAGCATTCATCGTACTAGTCGTAAGTTCCCAGCTGATAAGTAACGAACACACTAAGTAAATAGCGATGAACGGTCAGAACGTTTAAGCTAAATTTAACCTGCACTCGAAAATAGCAAAACTAAAAATGCTTTTCATTTTTTAAATAGGCAAAATACGTTTCTAAAAGAGAGCAGTGCTAATTATTGTCTTCCTTTTCTCTTTCACATACTAATTAACAGGAAATATCTTACATTGTTTCGACGTTATCGAAGGCACAGCCCTTAAAATGATACTATGAGTATCCCATTTGACGAAAGTGAATGGGAGAAACCAGTGCTTCGACCCAGGTGGTCTGTTGGAGATCAGAGAAGCAACGGCACGCGAATGATGCGCGCTAACGAGAACCGGTGAACACGGACCAGACTGGGTGGATGAAGTGCATTGCACGAAGACCACCGCCACCACACCTAGCCATCTTCAGGATGTCTGTCCACCAGAAAAAATGGTGGTTTTGTGCTCTTCGACTGAAAAGAACCTATCTGAGAACTCTGGAACACTGATAGCAGGAGTGGAGAGTTGACTGACATCCATTGGAGACACGACAGGTGATACGAATGAATGAGGCACTTGATAAACACTTCCAGAAAAGACGGCATATATACAGGAAGTTTATTGAACATGACTAGGCGACAATACATCGCAGATACAAACGATTACGGATTGGATGCTATACAGATAGATGTATACAAATGAAGACCTCAATCCTATGATGACACCATCAACTCCTTTCAATATGTTCTTCATTTGTGATGAAGTGCTCACAATTCATAACTGATGGGTGGAGTTACACATTCGGGGAATTCAATGCCAGTAATCGAAGTAAACACTCTCAAGCAGGCTGCCAATTTGTAATCACCTTAAAGACTGCAGTCACACATGGTGGTATAAATAATGTCAACGACAGATATCATCTACACGTTTTCTCATGCGACAGATGGGGCGCCTGACACGCAAATAAAATTAAAGTGTCTCTTGAAGTAACGCTCACCTGAAGCGTCATTCACAGTGTAAGTACTTAGTGACCTTGTTTTAGCTTATCAAAAACTGAGATACACATAGACATCCTTAAAATGAGAGATATAACAATAACCGTCATGTGTCGTTTTCTTGCTCAGCAATCGCGAGGTTTTTAAACAGCATACATTTACTTCCATAAAAAAAACACAATACAATACAACGCTAGCTGACGTTTCGGCAGTATCGCCTTCTTCAGAGCTGCTTTTTCGTGACTTCGAGGCAGTCGTCAACCACATGCGACTATAATCAGCTGTTCTAAACTTC